AAAAAAAAATACAAAATTAGCTGGGCATGATGGCACATGCCTGTACTCCCAGCTAATCAGGAGGCAGAGGCAGGAGAATCACTTGAACCTTGGAGGAGGAAGTTGCAGTGAGCCAAGATCACACCATTGCACTCTAGCCTGAGCAACTGGAGCGAAACTCTGTCTCAAAAAAAAAAAAAAATTTAGACCAGGTGCAATGGTTCAGGCCTGTAATCCCAGCACTTTGGGAGGCCAAGTGGGCAGATCACAAGGTCAGGTGTTCAAGACCAGCCTGGCCAACATGGTAAAATCCGGTCTCTACTAAAAATACAAAAATTAGCTGGGTGTGGTTGCAGTGAGCTGAGATCCAGCCATTGCACTCCAGCCTGGGCAACAAGGCGACACTCCATCTCAAAAAAAAAAACCAAAAAAATTAAAATTAGTCAGGTAGGCATGGTGGCACACACCTGTAGTCCCAGCTACTTGAAAGGCTGAGGTAGGAGGATCCCTTGAGCCTGCAGAGTCAAGGCTGCAGTGAGCTGAGATTGGGCGACTGCATTCCAGCATGGGTGATACAGTGAGAATCTGTCTCAAAAATAAAGTAAAACAAAATAATTCTTTTTAGAAATTAAAGAATGAGGAAAATGAAGGGTAGAAAACTGTCAAAGAACTAATACCAAAAAAAATACATAACCTAATTTACATAACCTAAACCAGATTAGGAAAATTTACCAGGTGCCCAGCACAATGAATGAAAAAAAAACACCACCAAGGTCACATCATGCATTCTAAAACTAAAGAGATTTAAATGCTGAAATGATTGTATACAGTTAAAATCAAAACAGTCTTTTTAAAAAAAAACCACCTAACAAATGAATTTATTTAGGTTCCAAGTTACAAGGTCAATATATATTGTGCAACTACATTTCTATATAATATAGAAACAAAAAAAAAACTGGAAAATGAAAACTTTTTTCTTTTCTTTTCTTTTTTTTTTAAGACGGGGTTTCACTGTGTTGGTCAGGCTGGTCTTGAACTCCTGACCTCAGGTGATCCGCCTGCCTTGGCCTCCAAAATGCTTGGATTACAGGTGTGAGCCACCACACCCAGCCCTGAAAACTTTTTAAGGTGCCATTTGTAATAGCATCCAAAAAACCCATAAAATACTTAGACACAAATTTAGCAAAATACGTACAAGATTTATGTACCAAAAACTATAAAACACCCTTTGCAAAAAAATTAAAGTACACTTAAAGAGATAAAGGTATCTTGCCCATGGACTGGAAGACTCAATACTAAGATGTCAATTTTCTGTAAATTGATCTATGGATTCTGCATAATCCATATCAAAATTCCAGCTGGAACAGGCCTCTTTCCTAAGAATCACCTGTCCAGGTTGGAATTAAACAATGAAGGACTCCAGGAGAGAGATCTTAGAGAAAGATTAACAGATTATCCAATGAATGTGAATGCATTGAGGGAGATACTGGCACTGATATTATGATAAGTACATGGAACACCCTCTCATTAGTTCCAGGGAAAACAAAACTTGTACAAAGAAGGGAAGTGTAAACATTGGACCCAACTGTGAATAATTTTTTACACAGTCATTATGACAAAGAAATTGAATGTTGACTTAACCAAAAAGTGTGGTATCTGTTTATGGAGAATGGAGAAGGCAGTATTTGTGTTTGCTTGGACCAGGGTGAAACCAGGAGAGAGACTGGGAGAATTTTACATTCTCATAAGCCAAAAGAGACAGTCAGTGACGATACCTAAACCTGGAGGGGGGAAGAAAAACAAGAACTAGCAGAGGGCTGGGCACAATGGCTCACATCTGTAATCCCAGCACTTTGGGAGGCCAAGGTGGGTGGATCACTTAAGGTCAGGAGTTCAAGACCAGGCTGGCCAACAGGGTGAAACCCTATCTCTACCAAAAAAAAAAAAAAAAAAAATGCAGTAATTAGCCAGGCATGGTGGCGGGCACCTGTAGTCCCAGCTACTTGGGCGGCTGACACACAAGAATCACCTGAACTCAGGAAGCAGAGGTTGCAGTGAGCTGAGATCATGCTGCACTCCAGCCTGGGAGACAGAGTGAGACCCTGTCTCAAAAAAAAAAAAAAAAATTACTGGCAGAATACGTATGATATTTAGAAACACGTAGGTCATTATCAGATGAAACAGCTGCGAGAGCTGACGGTTGCTGCCCTTGTCTGCAGGGACTGGAGCTGGAAGGCTGCTGGTTTCTGTTATAAGCTTCCGAAAGCCATTTTTTCAACAATGTGGATAGAATACTCAGACAATATAAAGAAATTTTCATCTTTAAAAGTCGAGTTGCCAGGTACGGTGGCTCACGCCTGTAATCCCAACACTTTGGGAGTCCGAGGCAGGTGGATCACAAGGTCAGGAGTTCGAGACCAGCCTGGCCAATATGGTGAAACCCTGTCGCTACTGAAAATACAAAAATTAGCCTGGCATGGTGACGGTGCCTGTAGTCCCAGCTACTTGAGAGGCTGAGGCAGTAGAATCACTCGAACCTGGGAGGTGGAGGTTGCAGTGCCAAGATGGCGCCACTGTACTCCAGCCTGGGCCACAGAGTGAGACTCCTTCTCAAAAAAAATAAAAGTCGAGTTAACATATTTCGATTGTTTTTTATTTTATTATGTCTTTGATTTATTTCTACCCTGAAGGTTGGAAAGAAGATTTTGGATTTAAAAACTGAATACCAGGCTGGAAGAACACATCGGTGCTGAAAGCTTCGCTGTTAGCTCCTTGTGGCTTCCTGGGTGGAGCCTACAGTGGCCTCTCCAAACTCTGCATGGAAACAGCAAGACTGGACTCCACCACTGTCTCTTGGTGAGTGGTCTTCTCTAGGAAGACACATCTTTGGGACGATCTTTAAACCAAAAGGAGACTGTCATTTTACTTCATTTGCATCTATGAGATTTTTCAGTCTCTGAAAGGCTCTTATGAAAATACTACTTTGCTCAGAAAGGGGCGAATTTTAGCTCTGTGGCATAAAATGTGGATTATCAGTTAGGATTTTTGCTGGAACTAACAAGAATGGGCCACAAGATGGAGGGCAAGGGGTGGTGAGAGGCTGTGGTTGGTCAGAAGAACCAACTGCTGTTAGAGATTGGTAAGAAGGACCAAAACAAATTTTTGAATGTTAACATCAGGAAGCATTGTGCAGAACATGCAGTTAATCCTAATCCCGCCTCTAGACTTACCCTAATGTGCAACCCCAATCTCGTCCATGATCCCTCCCATTACTGACCCCCACTCCCGTCCTAAGATTCACCCCATCCCTGGTCCCAGCCCCATACTGGACAAGTGGGTCCCTCCTTAGGGCAAACACTCTCCCTGGCTCTGACCAGACATCTAATCCTCACCCTATCTAGTCATTGAAACATCAGTTTTTGATACTTCAATATACTGTTAACTAAGTACCAAAATCCTGGCATTTTTTTTTTTAATCTGAAATCCAAATCATTTGTGTCTTGAGCTATAACCAGAAAATTACAGGCTGCATTAAAAATTCCAATCAGCCTGGGTGCCGTGGCTCACACCTATAATCGCAGCACTTTAAGAAGCCGAAGCAGGGAGATCACTTGGGCTCAGGGGTCCAAGACCAGCCTGGACAATGTGGCAAGACCCCATATCTACAAAAAAAACGTAAAAATTAGCTGGCATGGTGACACACAGCTCTGATCCCAGCTACTCCGGAAGTTGAGGTGGGAGCCTCACCTGAACTCAGAAGGTTGAGGCTGCAGTGAGCTGTGTTTGCACCACTGCACTCCAGCCTGGGTGACAGAGCAAGACCCTGCCTCATTTAAAAATAAAAATAAAAAAATCTAATCGAAAAATGATGCACCCGTTTGAAGAGTCCACTATATCCCTCCCCTGTATAAAACAGCTCTGAGTTATTTTGTTGCTGTCTGAGCTTCATTTCCCAAGTTCCTAGGGAGACTGAGCATCTTTCACGTGGTTATGAGTCATTTGCATTCCCCCTGGACCCAGTGTGGATCCAAACTTACTGAAGCCCCTGATGGAGTCGTCTTTGCGTACCGGGCATATGGTGAAGAAGGAGGAAGCTGGACTTCGAGGACACAGTAGGAGAGGTGGAAGGGGGATTAGCAGAGGGAGGAGGGGGAAAAGGAGGCCCCAGTTGTCAGCCTTCTGCCCTGGGTTCTCTCTGCATCTTCTGCGTTCTTCTTGTCCTCTCTGTTGAATCAGGACTATATCTTAGGGCTCGAGCACCTAACTCCCTCCTCACTCACCTGCCTGGACAGGCTCAAGCAGGACAGACTGAGGAGCCTCCGTCCTGGCCCCTGAAAGAGCATCTTAGACAATGCTCTGGAGAGGGTGGTGACCCTACCAGGGACTTCTTCTGCTCCAGCCTTGTAGCTCCTAACCCTTCCCTGACATTTTTTCCAGGCATGACACCCCCTCCCTGAGCCTCACCTTTCCCCAACACTTATCCCATTCAAAAGCCTCACTCCATATCTGGTCCCAGCTCCATGCTGAATCTCCCTGTTCCCAACTCCTCACTGCGACCCTGACTCTCACTCTCCCTCCTTGTGGATCTCTCCCAATCCCTGGCATTCATTTTTCTCTAACCTCATCCCAAGCTACCACCCCATCCCTGTCCTCACCCCATCTCTGATTTCAACATCAATCACTGATCCCCATCTCAACCTCGATCTAGGTCCTGTCTCTGAGCCTCACCCCATTCCCAACCTCAAGCTATCTCTGATTCTTCCCCGCACATCCTAAACCCACACATTCTGTTTTGCTGAAGCTAGTTTGACTTCCATTTCTATCATTTGCCATCAGAAGAGCACTGATGTCATCAGTCTTCACTTGGGACATTTTTACATGGATAAAAACCAAAGGAAGCTAAACCACAAAGGCAAACTTGAGAAGTGGACAGCAGGAAGCTGAAAGGGGAAAGGAAAGACAAGAGAAGCTTTGAGCAGATGGTGTGCAAATGAGCCGTGGTCTCTTCAGCATCCGTTCACTCCTGTGATCATTATTTATTGAGCATTTAACAGGCTCCAGGCACCAAGGACATAGAGTGAACAAACAGACAGAATCCTGTCTCTAAGGAGTGAAAACAGCCTAGGAAAACACCGCAACTCAAGGAAAGCATTTGGGGAGCAAGTGGCGAGCTCATATAATTGAGGAAGCTAGGCAAGGTCTAACCCAGAAGATGACGTTCACCTCAGGGTGAAGCTGAGATCCCTGGAGGAGCATTTCCTTTCACCTGTGGGCAAAGGTATCCTCCATGGCCTGGGTATGGGCACCAACAGGAGTTTCTGTGCCTCAGCAGACTGTTCTAGCAGGAGTTAAAGCCCCAGGGAACACCTCCCTTCAGCCCAGAGAGGCGCCTTTTTGGGAGGTGCTGCCCCCATTCTTCTGCAGTAGCAGCCAGCAACGCTGCACACACTAGACCTGTCACACCCAAGAGACTTCCACGGGGACAAGCATGGAACAGAAATTTTATTAGGAATGTCTCCCTGCCCAGTGGACTGGTGACTGTGCATGGCTTTCTGGGGATGCTGATGATCCATGCCAGCCTGGAAGCTGCCGGAGGGTGGGCTAAGGGCAGCTTGTCTTGTTCCACCTGGGGCTCAGCAGGTGGCCGGCACAGGTGCCTGCAATGTTGGTCACGGGTGTAAAGGGGATTCTTGTGGCATAAGTCTGGCTTCCACACCCTCCTCCTCTTTGCTCACCCACCACCCCCAAGGGAAACGTGTTTCCAGCTCCTCACAGGGCCACCTGGTGGGTAGATGTTTTGGCAGTGGCTAGCTCAGTATCTCCAGCAGACACTGCAGCACACCCAAGATGGGAAAACCATTCCCTGAGCTCGGATCAGAGCACACAGAGCCACCAGCCTGGAAGGTCAACACTTAACACTCAGAGTTGAGGAGATGCTCCTGAGAGGGTCAACGAGAGCTTCCAGCCCTTATGAGGACGTAGCTTCAGCCCTGTTCTCTCATCTAATGTCATATTCGGGGCTCGGATGTGACCATGCTAATTAGCCAGTTAGTGGGTTAAAGATGCAGCATTCAGCAGGAAGGGCGGTGCTTCCTTTCCACGGAGGTGCAAAGGCCGGTCCTTGGAGGCACCTCAGCAACTCCTCAGAAGGTTGGCATGGCCCTTGAAGACACCAGTTCCTAACTTCCCCACATCCCATAGCGTCCCCCCAAAACCCAGATAGTGTCTGTCCAGAGCCAGACCACCTTCCACACACAACCTCTGGGTATTGGTTATTCTTTCCTTATGAGGAGAGATATTCCTTCATTGATGGTTTTTAGAGGTTGGAAGAGACATTGACAGAGGAAGAAGTGTAAGAGGTAACGTGATGACGTGCCAAGAACTCCTTGCTGACAAGGCCATGCATGGCCAGGATCTTGAGGAATCCATGACGAAAATTTTGGCCGATGAAGGCGTAGATGATGGGATTGAGGCAGCTGTGGAAGAATCCCAGAATCTCAGTGGCATCCAGGGCCCGGTCGATGTCGTTGCGGCGCTGACAGGTCTCCTTGATCATCTGGGTCCTCATGAGGGTGTCTGTGAGCAGGACCAGGTGGTAGGGCAGCCAGCAGAGCAGGAAGATGAGGACCACAGCAAAGATGACACGCATGGCCCGCTGCTTCTGCCCCATGTGGGCCTTAAACAGCGTGCACAGGGTGAATCCGTAGCAGAACAGCATGACCAGCAGCGGCACAATGAAGCCGAAGGTGTGGGGCAGGATCCGCAGCACCATCCGCCATTTTGCTGTGTCATTTCCCAGGACCTCATAGCAAACTGGACTGGAATTGTTTGGACGATAGGCTTCGCGGAAAAGGAAGAAAGGCAGGGACAGAATCAGAGACAGTCCCCAACAGCTCAGACAAACAAACTTGACCAAGTGACGCTTCTGGGTCAGTGTGCGTGTGGCATGGACAATGGCCAGGTAACGGTCCACGCTGATGCAGGCCAGTAGCAAGATGCCACTGTAGAAGTTGACTTCCTTCAAGAGTGAGACCACCTTGCACAGGGGTGTGCCAAAAATCCAGCCATTCACCTTGGAGGCAGCCCAGATGGGCAAGGTCAGGGCAAAGAGCAGGTCGGCTAAGGCCAGGTTCAGCAGGTAGACATCGGTGACAGAGCGGCTGACCCTACTGTATAAGATGACCAGCATCACCAAGGAATTTCCCAGCAGGCTCAGCAGGAACACTAGGGCATAGGTGATGATGACAACATACTTGTTGAGTGTCTCAGTCTCTACCACACAGGGGCTGTAATCTCCTTCTAGAGGTGGCTCGCCAGTGAAATTTAAAAGGTAGTCATCAAGCCACATCGATGGGTCTGTAATATTCCACATGTTCCCTTCAGTTTCAGACATGGTTTGATCTAGCTGGAAGGTTAGAAGGAAGGAAATGATTTAGTAGCTCAGTAAAAGGCTTTCTCATCAAGGAGGTGAGAGCAGTCACTGGTGTGTCCTTTGCTACCCTGTTGGTTTGGCAACCAGAGGTCCCCTTCCTGCTTTGCCTCCAACCCGGGTTTCTTTAGAGGTTGGCTTTCCCAGTGTTCTCCACCTTCCACAGCTCCAAGGCCTGGCCTGAGTATGGGGTAAGACGGAATATGGGGAAAACACCTGAGCCCCAGCTCAGCCCACAACTGCCTCCTCTCTGTCTATGTCTCTACCTCTGTCCCTCTTTAGCCTTCTTTACCCCCAGCAGTGTCTCTGCATTCAGATGGGGGGACCAGGTTGGTCTTGGACATTCAGAGAAGGGCCAGCATTAAGGAGAATGCAAGAAAGCAAACCTGTTCCCAGGTGGCCCCTTCCATTATTTCCTTTTCTGTTTCTCCCTGATTCTTGTTTACCCTTCTTAAAATCTCCTGGGAGAAGGAAGTGATAACCACACATTGCGTTAAACTGTATATTTCAAGCCTTGTCTTTAAATGGGCAGCACACATTTTGCTCCTCTGTCTAAAGGAGTTTTAAGCATTTGAGAAGATTAAGTCATAAAGTCTCCATCTTGGTCCCTGAAACCCTCCACCCTCCACAAAAGCCACAGAATCGTTCAAGAGTTTTCAAATATATTTCCTATTGTGAAACATTTTGCTGAAATTAAATCTTCCCGGAAGCCCAATACGTGAAACAGATTAAAGCTGAGCCACTGTGGGGTAGAGTGGACTAATCTCCCAACCCCGATGGCCCCTAAAGAGACCCTCAAAGATCCAGGGCTCTCCAGAGAACAGTCTGAAAACCTTTGGAAAGTCACCCAGGTTGGTCGTAAGGACACCTAGCATCTAGTTCTCATTGTATCCTGATTCGACTATTAATAAGTCACGTGACCTTGAGTGGGGTCCCCACCCCTATAGATTTCAGTCTTCTCATCTGCAAATCGAGGAAGACAGAGTTGTCCACCTCTCACTTGGTGCCAACCTGAGGGTCTAGGATGAGTCCACTCAGAGCCACACATTTTAGCATGTTCCCTCCCTACCAGTATTTGCATTTTCACCAAAGACAAAGTCTTAAGGTGAAGCAATAAACATCAAATTGGGGAACTGTCAGCCTCTTCCCACAGAAGGACGAGGCATAAAAAGAGGGGACAAGGAGGCGGTCCTCTTGACCTGCTACCTCCAAGTATGAGGAGTGGTCACAAGAGAGAATGGGGAGCAGAAATCTCAGCTCCTACAGAAATGAACACATTTTCCAAAATAAAGTCAAGCCAAGCCACCCTACCACAAAAAAGTCCTGGCAAACTGAGGTGGCTCCCTACCTGAGGCACTGGCCAGGTGTGTCCAACCGTAGGAGCTGCAGTCAGAGATCAGAGTGACTTAACAGTTAGAAGGCACTTGATGAATAAAGGGAAATAAGGAAACCACGTCAGACGACACTTCCCTTCTGAGCCCCTCCCATGTCTACATTTGGGAAGAACAGTTTAAGTCAAGGGTCACAGGGTATCAGAGATTTCCAGGGTCCATATGACCAAGCAGGGGTCCCAGGTGTGAAGCTGGGGTTGAGGGTGCATTATCTGACTTCTCCACTCTATGGATGATCATTTTTATTCTCTTCCTTTTCCTGAATTTACTTCCATGTGTTTATTCCTAAATTCCCTGGTAGATCACCTGTGAAAGCTTGCAACTTGCCTGACAAGAACAAAGGGGAAAGGATTTGATTCACAGCAGAGCTTTTAGGATTCCCCTGTAGGAGGGACTTCGGAGCAATCCAGCGGGAAGGAGGAGGACTGCACTTGAGCTGTTTGGACACCATCTCTGCTTATTTTGCAGGCTTCTTTGAGACAGCCTGTTGGGGATTTGAAGGGAACACAAACCCTTCCTTTTTGCCAGCCACTCTTTTGCACAACCATTGCCAATGACCAGTTGAATTAAATGGCTCTGAGGCTGCCAGCATAGGTCACTTCTGGAGTCTGGCCGGTTAACAGAGAGACCATAGAGCTGGAGCAGTCCATGAATGGAAGAGCTGGGGTCAGGGTCACAGCTCCTCCCCACCTCAGTAATGAAAGATGGCTTCTCTGTGAACTTAACTTTGCTGCGTCCAGCAGCTAATGGTGACCCCTAGCTTGAGTCTTCTGTCGCCTTCGTCACTTCTCCGTAGAACCTGAACCCTATTGTACTGCAATGAGATGTCTGCTAGTCAGCCTTCTGAGCCGTGAGACAGCAATTGGTCTTTGTGTTCTCTTTCAGGGAATATAGTAAGTCCTCAATCAATGGCTGTGGAGTAAATGAAAGGAGGTGTTTCTCCCGTGATTCATGGACCACGCGTCACCACCACGATTCAGTGTCTGTTGCTTTTGGCTACACACTAAAACCACTGGTATGCCCAATAGCTTCATTTCCACGTGGCCCAGCTGGTCCACCTGGCATTGTTTCTTCCCAACCTCCCTCTGATGTTTGGAGCTAGTGCCAGTCTGTGCAAGCATACATCCTGCCCTACCACAAATGCCAAATTTAGCATGTCCTGGATTCCTGCAGTTCTGCCACTGGCAAGCCTTTTTTTTTTTTCTTTTTTTCAGAGACAGGCTCTCACTGTGTTTCCAAGGCTAGAGTGCAGTGGTGCGATCGTAGCTCAATGCAACCTCAAACGCCTGCACTCAAGCAATCCTCCCACCTCAGCCTCCTGAGAAGCTGGAACTACAGGCAAGAGCCACCACATCTGGCTCCTTTTTTTATTTTTTCTGTAGTTAAAGTGTCCTGCTATACTACCCAGGCTGATCTTGAACTCCTAGCCTCTAGTGATCCTCCTGCCTTTGCCTCCCAAAGCACTGAGATTCTGGCATAAGCCACCATGCCTAGCCTGCAAACCTATTTTTTAAGCTAAGTTGTGCTCTCCTCCTGAGCTCTTTTATCATTTGTAAATAGTAATAGGAAGTGTAAGGAGACAATAGCCACTCATGCTTTGCTATTACTTATGTTGGACTAGAAAGGAGTCAAAGATGGGGTAGTCCCAGGAGGTAGGAGACATTCTCTCTATTAATCATCTAGGCAGCCCCAAGGGCAGAAAATGGTCACGGGAGACAGAGGAGAAAAGAGATGAGAGCCTAGACTGCAAAGCACCTGCCCATACTCAAGAGCAATCCTGAGGCCGGAGAAGGATAGTTTTTGCCACTAGGGGGCAGCAGTCACTGGACAGGGAGGCCACTGCAACACACCCCTTGAGAAGGACCAGGGTCAAGAGCAGGTATATTTAATAACCAGTATTGGCCGGGCGCGTGGCTCAAGCCTGTAATCCCAGCACTTTGGGAGGCCTAGGCGGGTGGATCACAAGGTCAAGAGATTGAGACCATCCTGGTCAACATGGTGAAGCCCCGTCTCTACTAAAAATACAAAAAATTAGCTGGGCATGGTGGCACGTGCCTGCAATCCCAGCTACTCCGGAGGCTGAGGCAGGAGAATTGCCTGGAAGCGGAGGTTGCTGTGGGCCGAGATCATGCCATTGCACTCCAGCCTGGGTAACAAGAGCGGAACTCTGTCTCAAAAAAAAAAAAGAAAAAAAAAAACAGTATTAAGTTCTTCTCGGTGTATAATTCCTTTCTGCTTTTCCTAAGCCCTCAGTAAAAGTCAGTTCATGATTCCAGTTGATTTCAAAGAATCACTGAGGGTTTAGGGAAGGGTCTGGTCTCCTGGAACCCTGGGAGTGAAGGGGGAGCAGCCCACTGCATGAGTGTGGTGGGGGCAGCAGCGATGCTGGCGTCTCCAAGAGAAGTTGCACCTGGAGAACAGGAGTGGAAAGAACCTGTCTCTTTGCAGTAGGAGTGAGCTTTTTTTTTTTTTTTTGACACAGAGTTTCGCTTTTGTTGCCCAGGCTGGAGTGCAATGGCATAATCTTGGTTCACTGCAACCTCCGCCTCCCGGGTTCAAGCGATTTTCCTGCCTCAGCCCCCCAAGTAACTGAGATTAAGGCATGTGTCACCACGTCCGGCTAATTTTTTGTATTTTTAGTAGAGATGGGTTTCCACCATGTTAGTCAGTCTGGTCTCAAACTCCCGACCTCAGATGATCTGCCCACCTCAGCCTCCCAAAGTGCTGGGATTACAGGCATGAGCCACCGCGCCCAGCCAGAAGAGAGCATTTCACTGAAGGAGGGAGAAAGCACATATAGATAAGTTCAGAATAAAATTTACCCACTTGAAAATGTTCCAGCAAGTCAGCCCACCTGACCTATCTTCTATACCTCACTTCCCACTTATGCCTGTGCCCTCTTAAAACGGCCTAGAATGTTCCTGCGGTAGCTTTCCGCAGCCTTGAACTCCTGGGCTCAAGCGATTATCCATGTAGAGCTCTCAATGCCACAAAGAAAGCTGTGACAGGTGCAGCCCAAATGCCAGTCAACTGGCAAAATGTGGCATCTCTTTGGGTGACATATTCTTACCACTCCGTTTCAACCATGGCAGCTTCCACACAGACCACGTGAACAGCACACAGTATGGCTGCAAGAACATGTGTTTTGTCCCTGCATCAGCCTTGTGCCAGTTTAAGCATCTCTTCTCATTCCTCCAGAAGAATCCACTTGGATCTGGGATCAAAGTAGGGGAAAGGGGTACAGAACGTCTCCCCCCTGTGACGTCATCATAACCACAGCAACAGGTTCAGGGAGTGAGTCTGTGACCTAAGATGATCTGGTGAGAGCAAAGGTCAGGTGTTTGCTCAATGAATGTGGAAAAGCAAGTATGCAGTCTTGTTGCGGCCAGCAGCCATTTTGCTACCATAAATGGCAAAAACAGTCCAAGGGAAAAAAAAAAAAAACCAGCACAACACACAGAAGAAGGCAAAGCTGAATCAGAGAAACAGAGCTGGGGTCCTAAACAAACCAGGTCCAGAGGCCATCTTCTCCCTGTACTTCCTCGGTTCCATGAGCCAATAAATTCTCTTTATTGTGAAGACCAGTTCAAGTTGACTTTTCTGTTACCAGCAACCAAAACATGCCCAACCGTGAGCGTTCTGGAAACCAAACATGATCTAGGATGAGAGAAGCAGGGAGTAGTGTCGGTGAGACACTGGGTCCAGGCTTCAGTGGTAAAGACACAGGGGCATTGACAGACACATGAGCTGGCCAGGCGCAGATCTCCCAGCCCTGATCGCCAAGCTCCAGAGGAAGCCAGAGAAGGACCTAGAAAATTGAGCATATTTGTTTCCCGCAATCTCCATTTTTCAAAAATTAAATTAAATTTAAAAATTGTTTCCTGCAATCTCAATTAAAAAAAATTAACAAATAAATAAATAGGCCAGGCATGGTGGCTCATGCCTTTAATCCCAACACTGGGAGGCCAAGGCAGGAGGATTGCTTGCATTCAGGAGTTCAAGACCAGCCTAGGCAACATAGCGAGACCTTCTCTCTACTAAAAATAAAAAGTAAAAGTAAAAATTAGCTGGGCACGGTGGTGTGTGCCTGTAGTCCCAGCTATCATGGAGGGTGAGGCAGGAGGGTCCACTGAGCCAGAGAGATCAAGGCTACGGTGAGCTATGTTCATACCACTGCACGATGGAAATACTGGCTCTTCTTCACTAGTTCTTGAGATACTGATCTTGAGATACTGATGGGAAAGCATTTTTTCATTCTATGCAGAACACCCATTGCCACGAAGAAAGCTGTGACAAATGCAGCCTGAATGCCAGGCGACTGGCAAAATGTGGCATCTCTTAACATTTACAAAAAATCCTTATCTATAAAAATGGGGATAATAATACTTGCCTCGGGACAGACACAGTGGCACACACCTGTAATCCCAGCACTTTGGGAGGCCGAGGCAGACAAATCATGAGGTCAAGAGATCGAGACCATCCTGGCCATCATGGTGAAATCCTGCCTCTACTAAAAATACAAAAATTAGCTGGGCATGTTGGCACATGCCTGTACTCCCAGCTACTCAGGAGGCTGAGGCAGGAGAATCACTTGAACCCAGGAGCAGAGGTTGTAGTGAGCCGAGATCGCGCTACTGTACTCCAGCCTGGTGACAGAGGGAGACTCCGTCTCAAAAATAACAATAATAATAATAATAATAATAATAATAATAATACTTGCCTTTCCCAGTTGTCAAGATGATGGAAAGCTTGAGCACCAAACCAGCTGGTACAAATCCCAGCTCTGTCCCTGGGTGGCTGTGTGCCCTTGGGCAGCTTAGATGCTCACTCTGTGCCTCAGTTTTCTCACCTGTAAAATGATAATAAAAATAGGACTTCATCTATAGGATTGGCATCAGGATCAATGAGCTAATATATGTAACGTGCTTGGCACAATGTCTGGCAGATAATAAGTGTTCAGTCGCTTTTAGTGTATCCTGGTCTGTCTGGCTCCAAAGCAGGGAATTCTGGGTCCTTCATGAGGATTGTTGAATCCATTCCAGAGGGTTTCCTTCAAATGAGTGCTCAGATGCCCACTTTCCTTTATTTTTCTTTCGTTTGGGACAAGATGTCGCTCTGTCTCCCAGGCTGAGGTACAGTGAGTACAGTGATCATAGGTCTCCGCAGCCTTGAACTCCTGGGCTCAAGCGATTATCCTGCCTCAGCCTTCCATGTAGCTGGGACTATAGGTGTGCGCCACCACACCCAGATAATTAAAACACTTTTGTAGAGATTAGGGTCTTACTATGTTGCCCAGGCTCTTATGATCACTTTATTTATTTATTTATTTGGTACACGACCCCCTATGGTACTGTTGGGGGACCATGTAACAAACACACCCAAAAATGCAGACCCTTTGATCCTGAAATCCCTTTAAAAGAGGTAAGGGAGGAAGGGAGGAAGAAAAGGAGAGAGGGAAGAAAAAGGAGGAAGGGAAGAAAGGAGGGAGGGAGGAAGAAGGGAGGAAGGAAAGAAGGGAGGAAGGAAGGAAGGAAGGAAGGAAGGAAGGAAGGAAGGAAGGAAGGAAGGAAGGAAGGAAGGAAGGAAGGAAAAGAAAGGGTAGTTTATAATAATAAAATGGCAATAATTTCAATGTTCTTCAAAAAATATTTATACAAACTATACTGGATTGATAAAATGGAACACTATGCTTATATTTAAAATAATGTACAGCTATATTTAATGCTATGGAAAAGTGTAATATGATGCTAAGTGCCAATAAAGATTAACAAGCAGAATGTACAGTATAACATTTTGTAGCAAGTACATATACGTATATGTACGGGGAAAACATGGGAAGTGTAGTCAAATGTTAGCGGGGAGTTATCTTAGGGAGTGGGATTGTAGATACTGGCTTCCTTCCTTATGTCTCTTGATGTTGCCCAACCTTTAAAATGAACATTACTTTTGCAATCAGAAAAAAAAATGCACAACAGGCACAGTGGCTCGTGCCTGTAATCCCAACATTTTGGAAGGCCAAGGCAGAGGGATTGCTTGAGTTTGGAGTTCGAGACCAGCCTGGCCAACATGATGAAACCCTGTCTCCACTAAAAATACAAAAATTAGCTAGCCTCAGTGGCATGCCCCTGTAATCCAAGCTACTCAGGAGGCTGAGCCAGGAGAGTCAGACTTAACACATTGGCCTCAGAGGAGGAAAACTAGAGCAAAACCTACCCTCCAGCCTCAGCGCATCTCAAATGACCCCGCTTCATACCAGTCACCATTTCTTAAGCCCTGAGACTCTCCAAGAGAAGAATGCCTGGGGAAGGGGAAGGGAAATACATCCCTCGCTCACCCCTCCTCAGGCACATGGACAACAGGAAATAGCCCAGGATTGCATGTGGGAGGTGGACAGGTCAGTGATGTAACCGCCCAAGGGGGGTTCACCTTGCCTGCTATCTAGACAGAGCCAATTCATCAAGACGGGGGAATGGCAACAGAGAAAGAGTAATTCACACAGAGCCAGCTGTGCAGAAGACTGGAGTTTTATTATTATTCCAATCAGTCTCCCCGAGCAATCAGGGAGCAGAGTTTTTAAGGACAACTTGGTGGGTAGGGAAAGCCAGTGAGCCAGGACTGCTGACTGGTCAGGGATGAAGTCATAGGGAGTCTGAGCTGTCTTTTTGTGCAGAGTCAGTTCCTGGGTCGGAGCCACAGATCAGATGAGCCAGTTTATCGATCTGGGTGGTGCCAGCTTATCCATCAAGTGCAGGGTCTGCGAAATATATCAAGCACTGATCTTAGGAGCCATTTTGGGAGGATCAGAATCTTGTAGCCTCCAGCTGCATGACTCCTAAACCTTGATTTCTAATCTTGTGGCTAATGTTAGCCCTACAAAGGCAATCTAGTCCGAAGGCAAGATGGAGGTCTACTTTGGGAAAGGGTTGTTATCGTCTTTATTTTAAACCATAAACTATAAACTGAGTTTCTCCCAAGGTTAGTTCAGACTACGCCCAGGAATAAACAAGGACGGCTTGGAAGTTAGCAACAAGATGGAGTCGATTAAGTTGGATCTCTTTCACTGTCTCAGCCGTAACTTTGCAAAGGCGGTTTCAGTGACGTGTGGGGTGAAAACGCAGGCTGATAAAGTTCCCTTGCTGGCACTCATTTGTGGAGCCAATGGATATAAGCGGTGAAGACGGTTCACACTGCAAATACAGTGTTCTCATCTCAAAGCAAGCTATAATTTCCAACGGAACCCTGTGTGTCAGGGCAAGCAGATAATACCATTTTGTACAAGATGTCTCCCTCACGCCCTGAAGTAAGGCTCCTCTCAGCTTCCCCACCAGTGACAGATAATAGCTCCTGTTCTTAGCTGCCCTGGCTCAGCTAATCCATGAATGCTTCACTCCCTGAGGAGGACACCTCCCATCATACCCCTGAGTGGAGTCAGGGAAGGATCCTACTTCTCATCAAAGGACCTCCCTCTTGGGCCGGACGCAGTGGCTCATGCCTGTCATCCTAGCACTTTGGGAGGCCAAGGCGGGTGGATCACAAGGTCAGGAGTTTGAGACCAGCCTGGCCAACATGGTGAAACGCTGTCTCTACTAAAAATACAAAATTAGCTGGGCGTGGTGGCGGGTGCCTATAATCCCAGCTACTCAGGAGGCTGAGGCAGACAACTGCTTGAACCTGGGAGGCAGAGGTTGCAGTGAGCCGAGATTGTGCCACTGCACTCCAGCCTGGGTGAAGTGAGACCCAGTCTCAAAAATAAAAATTAAAAAAAAAAAAAAAAAGGACCTCTCTCCTAACAGAACTGTTGCCTCTGTCACAGTTCTTTTGGCCAAACTAGGAAAGTGGCGTGAGAGCTGCCTGGCATTCTCCTCTCCTCTGCTTCCAAATGACTGTCATACAAAGGGCAAGGGAAGCCAACACCCAGAGCCCCAGAGCTCTTTTGCTGGTCAGAGATTCCCTGAGTGTCTGTCCTTACCCCAGCCTGCTCCATGTAACTGTGTCATAAAGCTTGGGACTGATAAGAAATGAGGAAGCAGAGATAGGTAAATGTTGCCCTAAGAATGAATCCCATTCTTCTGTTCTTGTAGGGATCTGTTCTTGGGGAGGGTGGGATTAGGGGAAGCTTGACTTTGTGTCTTCATCAATACGCTCATTTATACACACACACACACACACACACACACACACACACATCTCTTTTCAGTCAAGGGAAAGACCAGGGAAGAAAGGAAAACGCTTTCTCCAGCATTTAAACAAGGGACCTGGCCCAGCACAGTGGCTCATGCCTGTAATCCCAGCACTTTGGGAGGTCGAGGCAGGCGGATCACTTGAATCCAGAAGTTTGAGACCATCTTGGGCAACATGGCACGACCCTGTCTCTACAAAAAATACAAAAATTAGCCAGGCATGATGGTGTAAGCCTGATTGTGTGTGCCTGATGGTGTAAGCCTGATGGTGTATGCCTGATGGTGTGTGCCTGATAGTGTGTGCCTGATTGTGTGAGCCTGATGGTGTGTGCCTGGTGTGAGCCTGATAGTGTGTGCCTGATTGTGTGAGCCTGATGGTGTGTGCCTGGTGTGAGCCTGATGGCGTGTGCCTGATAGTGTGAGCCTGATGGTGCGTGCCTGATTGTGTGTGCCTGATGGTGTGAGCCTGATGGTGTGTGCCTGATGGTGTGAGCCTGATGGTGTGAACCTGATTGCGTGTGCCTGATGGTGTGAGCCTGATGGTGTGAGCCTGTAGTCCCAGCTACTTGCAGGACCTGAGCCCAGGAAGTTGAGGCTGTAGTGAGTCGTGATCATGCTACTGCACTACAGCCTGGGTGACAGAGCAAGACCCTGTCTCAAAAAAAAAAAAAAAATTTATTGTAATTTTAAAAAATTAGGCCAGGGTGGTGGCTTGTGCCTATAATCCCAGCACTTTGGAAGGCTAAAGTGGGCAGATCACGAGTTCAGGAGTTCGAGACCAGCCTGGCCAATATGGCAAAACCCCATCTCTACTAAAAATACAAAAATCAGCTGGTTGTGGTGGCACACACCTGTAGTCCCGGCTACTCAGGAGGCTGAGACAGGAGAATCACTTGAACTTGGGAGGCAGAGGTTGCAGTGAGCTGAGATCATGCCACTGTACTCCATCCTGAGAGACAGACAAAAATAAATAAATGAAATAAAAACGTTTTTTAAAATGCCCATCAATGATAGACTGGACAAAGAAAATGTGGTACATATACACCATGGAATACTACACAGCCATAAAAAATGATGAGTTCGTGTCCTCTGTAGGGACTTGGATGAATCTGGAAACCATCATTCTCAGCAAACTGGCCTAAGAACAGAAAGCCAAGCACCGTATGTTCTCACTCATAGGAGGGTGACACAGGGGGCGGTTGGGGGGGTAGGGGAGAGACAATGGGGGGTGGGAAGGGAGGAGAGGGTGGGGAGGGATAATGTGGGGAGAAATGCCAGATACAGTATGCACCTAAAGTAAAATAAATAAATTTTTTAAAAAAGATTGTTTCTCTGACAGTAGTGTTTAGATAACCCTTTCCTGGGAGAGACTGAGAGAATTTTTTAGATTTTGTATTGTTTCTAAATTAATCTGTGTTCTGCGAAAAGCAATGAAAAGTATGTAAAATCCAGTTTGACATTAAATTTCTCCTCTCAATAGAATGGTGATTGAAATTTGGAAAACTAGTTATACTAGCTGGACTATGATGTAGTAACTGGCTCATGACATGTGCTTACAGTATAAGCAACTATAAAACTGTACAAAATTTATTAGTAGACTATTTGGGGGCATCATAAAACAGGCAGTACAGAATTGTGATCTTTGAAAGAATAAAATCCCATGAGATTTAAAAAAAAAAAAAAAGAGGCCCACATTTTCATTTTGTAATGGATACTACAAATTATGTAGCCAGTCTTTACACCAATTAAATATGTTTCAGATTGATGAAATATTGAAGGAGTGGAGAGGAGAAACAGCGGAACGGGATTCTCACCTTAGCTCGATGGATGGCAACTATTCTTCCAATTGCCAAAACTCATGGACTCATCGCTGATGCCTCTTTATCTCTCACACTCAACATTCAATCCACCAGGAACTGCTGCTGGCTCTGCCAAAATAAGTTGCAGCTCCTGTTTTCTCCCCAACTCTACTATATTGCCCTGTCTTCTGCCACCCCGCGTCCGTACTCACCCATATCATTGAAACAACCCCTCTCATCCCTGCTCCTGCCCATTGTGTTCTATGGTATAGTCTCAACAAATCAGTGGGAACAATCCTTTTACATTGCATGTCAGGTCATTGTCACTCCTTCTTAGCATCCTGCAATTGAAGCAGGATATTTCCCTGACTCCTTTGTGGGCGGGAACTGGAGTGTGGGTGCTGGAACTAGCCACCCACTTTGGCGTTAGTTCAGTGGGCCGGGGCAGACTCCACTCGCTAAGACTCACTGCACTCCTCACTCATGGGAGGGGGAGCATGCAGGTGAGCAGGTATAGGAGCCGGGGTGAGTGCTTTTGGACACCAGCAGGAACAAATTGTATACTGGCCCCACAGCAGCATCTGGCAGGGGTGCCTGCAACCCCTGAAGCCCCAGAGGAAGTGTTATGGTACTCTTTTTTTTTTTTTTTGAGACAGAGTTTCACTGTTGTAACCCAAACTGGAGTGCAATGGCACGATCTCGGCTCACTGCAACCTCTGCCTTCTGGGTTCAAGCAATTCTCCTGCCTCAACCTCCCGAGTAGCTGGGACTACAGGCACACACCACCATGCCCAGCTAATTTTTGTATTTTTAGTAGAAACAGGGTTTCACCTTGTTGACCAGGATGGTCTCGATCTCTTGACCTCGTGATCCACCCACCTCAGCCTCCCAAAGTGCTGGGATTATAGGCATGAGCCACCGCTCCCAGCCTTATGGTACTCTTTTCCCTCTGCTGTCCATGGATGGCTCAAGTATCAACAGCTCAGTGGAGGATCAGTGTGACAGACTTTGGCACCCACCCTTGTGGCACACCAGTTCTTGTCTGGTGTCCAGGAGGAAAGAGGTCACATGACCCAATCTGAAGAATGGTAAATGACAGGGATTTTATTGACGATGGAGGTGGCTCTCAGCAGGATGGGGAGTTGAAAAGGGGACAGGGTGGGAATGCAATCCTCCCCCAAAGCTACACCATCAAACTGTCCCTCTGAAGTAAAGAGACTTCTCTCTGACATCCAACCATAGTCTCTGATGTCTAGCTGCTTCTCCTCTCTCTACTGGCTGAGATGGGGTTTACTTATGGGCACAGGATGGGGGGTGGGGCGGGCATGGGTGATTTTGGAAAAGGCAACATTCGAGTGGGAAAACAGGGATGTAAGTTCTCACCTTAGGCTGTGGTATCAGGCTTTTCGGCTGGAGGGTGGGGCCCTTGCCAGGGACCAGCCCTCTTCTGGCCAGAATTTCCCTGCCTCCTGTCCCTATCGCAATATCTCCAAAGTACAAAGTCTGTTGCTTTAAACATTTTTAGTGCATTTTAATTAGGTTTACCACAGAGAAACCTGGCAAACACTACCTTACCCAAGTGAGGAAGGCTCACATCACCAGGGATGATGTAGGGACCTCGGGTACACCGGATACATTGTGATGAGAAGGCACCTCACCTCCAGGCTGTGCCCTCCAAAACCTGCAACCTCAGTGTCATCATAACAAAAACATCAGGCAAGACTGAGGGACATTCTACAGGACACCTGGCCAGTATTTCTGAAGACTGTCAAAGTCATAAAAAATAAGAAAAAACTGAGCATAAAAAATGAAGAGAAAACAGACCACCGGAGATTGGAGAGACCTAGCAACTAAATGAAATGTAGTGTCTTGGATTGGACCCTAGAAAAAGAGGGGGAATGGAAAAACAGGCCAAATCCAAACAAAATCTGGAATCTAGTTAATATGTGCTTTTAAAGCACTTACAAATGCTTCTTGACTTGCCATGGTATTATGTCCTGATAAATCCAACATAAAGTGGGAAATTTTAAGTCAAATCATCCTAAGTCAGAAACCATCTGTATTTTATTTTATTGAGTTTATTCTTTACTTTTTTCTTTTTTTTTTTTTAGAGGTTTATTATGAGCCAAGAGTTTATTCTTTAAATCAAGAATACGTTAGCTGACCAAAGTGGCTCACTCCTGTAATCCCAGCACTTTGAGAGGCCAAGGTGGGCGTATCACGAGGTCAGGAGATCAAGACGATCCTGGCCAACGTGGTGAAACCCCGTCTCTACTAAAATACAAAAAAATTAGGCAGGTGTGGTGCCGTGTACCTGTAGTCCCAGCTACTCCGGAGGCTGAGGCAGGGGAATTGCTTGAACCTGGGAGGAGAAGGTTGCAGTAAGCCAAGATTGCGCCACTACTGCACTCAGCCTGGTGACAGAGCAAGACTCTTGTCTCCAAAAAAAAAAAAAAAAAAGAATAGTTTTTGAGCCAGGTGTGGTAGCTTATGGCTGTAATCCTAGTGCTTTAGGAGGCCTAGGTGGGTGGATACCTTGAGCCAAGGAGTTCGATACCAGCCTGGGCAACATGGGGAGCCCCTCATCTATTAAAAAAAAATAGGTTTTTAATTTTGTCAAAGGCTTATGAAGATAGTTATATGACCTTTTTATTCTGAGGTACATTTGTATGTGAATTATGTATATCTTGTTTGTGTCAGACGGGTAATGTGCCGATGTTGTGACAAGGTTTAAGGGAGGCACATCCCACACACGCACTTGAACCCCCAACCATCATGCTCATAAGCTACAAAAGGACCCACTATATGAATCATATTGATGGTTTTCACGTGTTGAATAACGCTTGAATTTTGGGAATAAATTCCACTTCACCACAAGAAAAAGTGAATCTGCTAAAAGCTAAAGTCCCTAAATGGCCTTCAAGGCCTTCCTCGATCTCCCCGCCCTCACCCTCTTCCCCATCCCACCTCATTACCCCTCTGGATTTGTTTGCTAGGGCTGCCATAACGACGTACCACAAACTGTGCAGCTTGAACAACAGAAGTTTCTTAGCTCGTAGTTTTGGAGACCAGAAGCTCCAGACCAAACTGTAGCAGAGTTAGTTCCTTCTAAGGACTAGAAGGGAGACTCTAATCTGGTTTGTGCCTCTTCCCAGCTTCCGGTGGTTGCTGGCAATCTTTGGCAGCTTCCGGTGGTTGCTGGCAATCTGGCGTTCCTTAGAATCATAACCCTAATCTCTGCCTTCAGCTTCACAGTGCATTCTTCCTGTGTGTATTTGTCTGTGTCCAAACTTCCCCTTTTTATAAGGACCCCAGTCGTATTGGATCAGGGTCCCCTCTAATGATTTTATCCTAACTAATAACATCTGCAACGACCCCAGTTCCAAATACTGTCACCTTCTGATATACTGGAGGTTAGAACTTCCACGTGTGAATTTGCGGAGGGAGGACACTGTTCAACCCAGAACACCCTCTGATCATATCCTCCTACTTTGCCGCTGCGGCTCAGCTCCAGACATACTGGCCTTGCACTGCTGTTGCCTTAGGGGGTTGACTCTGGCTGTTCACTCCCTCAGAAAGCTCTTCCTTAGCTGCTCCTGCAGATAACTCCCTCGCCTCTTCTTTTTTTTTTTTTTTTTTTTTTGAGACGGAGTTTCGCTCCTTACCCAGGCTGGAGTGCAATGGCGCAATCTCGGCTCACCGCAGCCTCCACCTCCTGGGTTCAGGCAATTCTCCTGCCTCAGCCTCCTGAGTAGCTGGGATTACAGGCACGCGCCACCATGCCCAGCTAATTTTTTGTATTTTTTAGTAGATACAGGGTTTCACCACGTTGACCAGGATGGTCTCGATCTCTTGACCTTGTGATCCACCCACCTCGGCCTCCCAAAGTGCTGGGATTACAGACTTGAGTCCCTCCCCTCTTCTAAGTGTTTGCTCCAACACGCCTCTTGCTGAAGCCCACACCGTCCCCCGTCCCCATCTCTGCAGCTGCACCTCCCACAGCCTTCCTGATGTCCCTTGACCTGATCAATTTAACGCATGCTCCTTTCCTCGCTGCAGTCCCTTCCTAACATACCATCCCATTTGCTTGTTTATTACTCATTGTCTCTCTCCTCCAGTGCTTATAAACTTCAGGAGGGCAGGGATCCGTATCTATTTTGACTACTGTATCCTTGGCATTGCACATCCCCTTGGCAAGTAGAGGGTGCAATAAACAGTTGTTGAAGAAGACAAAGCAAAAGAAGGAAAGGATTCTATTGTCCTATGTTTCTCTTGCCTCCAGTCTCTGGGAAATAACACTGGAGGGAAAGTTAAGCCCACCGTGGTTGTAAGAAATGACTTAGCAAATTTGGCTGGAGACCGCTAACTGTTCTGATAACACCTGAGATCAAGCAAGGTTGCTTGGGGCGGGGGATGGGGGGTGAGGGTGGGTGCAGAATGTACTCTTGGAGGCCAGGGCCTGGAGTTGCAAGACCAGTCCAGGAGAGGGCAGCATTATCTTCAAATCAAACCAAATAACTGGAGGAGCCCAAGGAAGTAACCCACATGAAAATTCCTCTACCCCATGGAAGTGCAATTGTAAATTGGGCTAGGCACCCACATCTAAAACTCAATACCACCCTTTAAGGCTTGCAAACCCTTTCACATACATTCATTCTCTCCTTAAAGTCCTCCTAGATGAGAGTGTAGCCATTGCCAGAGTGTGGGTGGAATTTGCACTGAGCAATTAAACAATATCACCCATGTGGTCCCATGTTCCTCACCTTGTCACAGGCTTCAAGCACCTAACAGTCCTGTCCGTGTGGAAACCCCCGTTTCCAGCCCACAGACCCTTCTTCCAGAAAGTTCTCATCCTTTCTGAGTTAACCCACACTTTCAAATACAGCCCATTTGGACTGACTGGCAAAGCTGTTAAAAGGTATACAGAAAGCAAGTTTCACAGAATGGAAGACTGTTTCACAGTTTGTTGGTCCTCGAGCTTGGGTTGCCATAACAAAGTACCATATGCCAATGATCTAAACAACAAAAATGTGTTTCTCACAGTCCTAGAGACTAGAAGTCCCAGATCAGGGTGCCATCGTGGTTGGGTTCTGGTGAGGGCCCCCTCCTGGCTTGCAGATGGCTGCCTT